TTTGACAAGATCCACCTGTTCAACCATCCCTGTTGAAACTGTCCAGAATCTACTGCTGGTTGCTCTGATACCAATTGTTGGTACAGGTCCTTGAAAACACACACACGACACACACTACTCACAAAAGTAAACTTGCAAAATGGAAACTGATTACAAAACATGGAATATTTGAAAGTCTACATCTTCCTATATATTCTAAACAAAACAAAGTACATCTACTTATACTAGAAATACTATCTAGCTATCCCACGTATCCATGCTAAAGTGTAACCACTATCCCTTTTATTTTCCTCAAAACTCGGTCAAAGATAAATACCAGATCTTTTGTTGCACGTTTGGATTACAACAAACCGATTAATCCAACACAAACCTCCGACATATCTCATTTCAAAATTATCAAAACCTTCATCCAGACAGAGCACCCGGAGATTGGGAAGTGTAGAAAAGTCTCTTGCCTTAACAAGGCATGCCCTTTGTTTTTTTTTCAACTATGAAGTCTCCAGAATTAAGGTCAATGATCTCCTCCATGTTTTTACTGGTTCTAATATCATTGGCTGAGCCACTGACCACATTCGCATAGGACTTAACACTCACATCTCGATGAACCGCTGTGGAGTTAACAACGGTTTGGGGTGTACGGACATTGTTTTCCAAGGAATGGGGTAAGGAGGCAAACATTTTATATGAACCAAACCAAACATCATGAAGTTGTTTAATCAGAGAGTCACAATTGGTAACACCTGAAAACCTAATGAATCCAAATCGTTTCCCCAATTTTGATAGTTTTTAGCAATAAACACATCGACTATCTTACCCAAACGATTACAAGCTCGACCACATACCCTCTTAATGTCTCCGACTTGAACAGAATCCAAAAAATTGGTGATAAAGAGAGAGGTTATATCTGACCTTATGTGACTGTTTATTGAATCATGGCTGATATGCGGAACCCTACGATTTCCATGCACGTTCCTATTCCTGTGACTGACTGTCGTCCATGTATTATCTCCCATCGTATTGAAGAAGTGATTTCACCGGCTTTTGATCCCACCGGTGAATAGTTGAGGATCTTTTGCTCTAGTTTCTTGCTAGAGCCTCATTTTTTATTTTTGTTTCAACGGTTCTAAAAAACATAATTTACTAAATTTTTAAAGTTTATTAAAACCAGATTTATATTAATAAATATTACATTTCACGTTTATAAATTAAAAAAAGTACCCACTTAAAATTTATAAATACATACTCATTATAAAGAAATTAAGAAAACCTTCCTATGTCTTTAGATAGTAATAATTAATTACGGATGAAATTTTATAAACATTCTAAGAAATTAAGAATACGTGCTTGGTGTTCTTTCATCCCATTACGAATGTTGTATACAAACTTCACGTTTGTGATATTTCTCTCATGGCTTAGGAGGTGAAAGAAAAAAGGATAAAGGCAACTATAAATGGGAGAATTACAAATGCTCACCACCACTCCACTTACCCTTTGCCCAAAAGGATCATTCGATTGAAAACATCAACTACAAATACACACGATTAATAATAAAGACTTGATTACTCTTAATAATAGACCCTTTCATCTCTTTATAATGGGGGTGAATGTTTCCATTTACAACCGTTCATAATCAATCAATCAAAATACTTGGCATAATATATAACATCTCTATCCATTGATCTTGTTCTAAGTTTCTTTATTATTTGTAGAATGATACGTTCACTTTATAAGGCAGTTCAGCTTTGTTTCTATGTTTCTCTTTGTTTATTTTGCAGTAATGCAATGGTAAACAGACCAAAACATGACTCGGTAGAAGCAGTCTGGGCATTCGGAGATTCCTTCTTTGATAGCGGGAACAATAACTTTCTAAATACATTGATCAAAGCTGACTTCCCCCCATATGGAAAGGATTTTATGGGAGGAGTATCATCAGGAAGATTCACCAATGATAGAACTATTAGCGACTACATAGGTAATATAGAACGAAAGAGATCAACCTCAAGAATCTTGAGGGATCAGATTATTAATTATCATATATCTACACAAGTACGTTCAAATCATTTCCATGCATTACTAAAATTTGCTATCTTTTGATACTAAATTTATAGTTAAGAAACTAGGAGTGAAGAACTACCTTCCAGCATATTTAGACCCTTACATACGAGAAAAAGATCTTCCTACTGGTGTATGTTTTGCTTCTGCTGGCTCTGGGTATGATGGCGTAACCTCCCAAATACAAGTATGCATGCGTATATATAATTCCTCATGTCTGCCTTTTTTAATTTATTAACTGTCGAACTAAATAACATTCATGTATGTTTGTGTGTATTTTGTTCATTTTTTATGGGCATATGACATTTAGAATGTCATGCCATTATCGATTCAACTGGAGATGTTCAAAGAATACATTTGGAAGCTTAATAGAATTGTTGGAGAAGAAGCAGCAAACCATATAATCAAGAACGGTGTGTATTTGGTATCATCAAGCTCCAATGATTGGAGTATAAGTTATGGCCTTGTTCCAGTTAGAAGATCGCAGTCCAATGCGACTGAATATGCTAATTTGTTGGCAAACAATGCTAGAATGTTTTTTGAGGTAATCCCATGCATATATTTATCTTAGTTTAGTTGTAGAACATGCTCAAATATCATTACTAGCTTTTCCTTTAATTTATGGTTTAAAATTTTGCATCAACTAATTAGCATGCTAGAAAATATATTGAAAGATTTCATAGCTTTCTATAAAGAATTTGACAAAGTTGTACATACTATAATCATAGTATATTTCTCATTTCAAAAAGAGTAAATTACAGAATGATCCCTATGGTTTGGGGTAATATGTGCGCTTGGTCCCTAACTTATTTTTTTAACTCGGAAGGTCCCTATTGTTTGTTTTTGTTACGCGTTTGGTCCCTACTGTTTGTTTTTGTTACACGGTTGGTCCCTATATTACCTAAAAATTAAGACTATTATTTAAATAGGAAAAAATAGTGGGGTAGGTAAGGTAAAGTGAGAGGGTGGGGTTGAGGGTGTGTTTATTTAAATAAATCAAACAATTAAGGGCAAAATAGTCTTCTTAGGTAAGACGGGGACCAAGCGCATAACAAAAACAAACAGTAGGGACCTTCCGACTTTACCTAAACCATAGGGACTATTCGTGTAATTTACTCTTTCAAAAAACATATGATTGTCCGTAATGCATAGTTTAATGGAATGATTAAATGAGGTAGAATATTTAGTTTACATTAAACGGATTAAACTCAACCATAATAGGATGACATATTGGTGTTCGATGAATATAAATAAATACACAAATTTTATTGTTAAATGAATAACAAGCAAATGATTTTATTCATTAAATATGTATCACTGAACTTTTGTAGAGTTTAGTGAAGTGTAGAAAAAAAACCGGTAAAGTTTATGGAAAATGAAATGATGGAAATCTATTCAACTATGTAGAGTTCAATTAATTGTAAACCGACTTTACCTATAGAAATACTAACTCTGTTATTATATCTTTTAATTTACATGTGAATGTTTCCAAAAATCTGTTTAAGGAATTATACAAACTGGGAGCAAGGAAGTTAGTTGTCTTCGGTACACCCTATATTGGTTGTTTTCCACTAATGAGAACTGTATTTGGAGGAGTACGTAGAAATTGTGTCAACATGTTCAATGAAGATGCAGAAACCTTCAACAAAATGCTAAAAAGTCAGCTCGAATATCTTCGAAGCAGTCTACCACATTCCACGATTTGCTATGTTGATTACTTCAATCTCTCACGAGAAATCATTCAAAACCATCTCCAATATGGTATTATGCACTAGATTCCACCTTATAGTACAATACCGAAATAATTGGTTATGATACTTCTAAAATTTATATTTCTCAAAATTTTATTGGAATTTGTCTCTAAGGAAGAGGTAACTAATTAACCAACAACAATGTGTGAGTTTATATTCCTCTACAAGGTTGACATTTATTCTCAATAGCTAAAAACTAAACGTTCTCGAAAGCTATTTGAAGTAACTTTTAGATTAAAAACTTTTTTTGTTTAAAATAATAGCAGGTTTTTTCTTAAAAGCTAAAAGCCATCGAGTTTCCCCATAATCATAATCTTCGTATATTGTTTTGGTTTTAAATTCATGACACAAATTTAGGGAAGATGATGCCTATTAACATTTTTCATCTGTTTCTTTTTCTTTTTCTTTTCTTAGGCTTGGAAGATGTAGACAATGCTTGTTGTGGAACAGGGTTGTATGAGACATCCTTTCTTTGTAACAGACTCAGCCCAGTATGTCCCAATGACTCAAAATTCTTATTCTGGGATAGTCTCCATTTAACAGACAAAGGATACAACATCGTTGTAGATCATGCTCTCCCACAATTGATGCAATGTTTGCACTAAAATCATGAACCCTATCGTGAATGTTAGTTTCAGTGGACTAAAGGAAAGAGAAAATGTCTCCTATATAAAGAGAACATGAGAGTGTTTTTTTAATATTGTGTTGCGTATACCAATCCTTTATTCTTAAAAAGCATAACTATTCAACTTTCTAAGTAATAAACGTGAACTATTTCACCTTGTAAAAGGAATAAACCATATCTATTCAGTAGTTCAACTTTTGCAACATGAAGCAATTTTATTATAAAACCACCAATTACTATTAAAAAATCCAATCAACTTGAAGTGTTGTCTGAAGAGACGATGTAAAGGGTATTTTTTTAATAGTTACATTGTAACACACTTAAAATATTGATAAACTAAGAGGTGTATTAATCAACATGATTATAAGTAGTCATGTTATATTGGGCTACTCGAGAATCAAATATGCATTAAAGTATTGTACCTTATGCATCAAAGTGACTCAAGGTAATGTACGATTATGATCAAAAGATGTTGTGAAATACCTTGATTGCGAATACAAGGCTCTCAATAACTTGTGGAGTCGAAACATAATTATGAAGAGTAAATTAACAAACGTACACTGTTTCTAACAACTTTCGGTTTGATAAAATTCAACTTGGATGTAAAAAGTACCAGAAACATATAATTGTTTTATACAAAATGAAAACGAAAATGTTTTTTGTATAAAAGCACCTAAACCAAACCTAAGAAGCCGCTTTCTTCGACTTATACATCTTGGCACAAAAGATATAAACCACCATATTGAAAAAACTAAGCCCCGCCAAAAGCCAAAAAAACCGATCCAAATGCCCCTCATTCAAGTTATCAGGTATCCAACCCGCCCGCCCGTTTCGCGTAGTCAAAACCGTGACCACGGTCAAAATAAATGAACTCAAATAATTCCCCAACGAAGTGGTCAACAAAGAAAGCGCGCTACACAAACTCCTCATCGCATCCGGCGACTGATCATAAAAAAACTCAAGCTGCCCGATAAACGTGAAAACCTCCGCCGCCCCTAGGAGGAAATACTGCGGGATTTGCCAAAGGATATTCATTGGGACAGGGGTATTTTCGTCAATTAATCCGAGGGACGCCGCGATATCGAGGCGCTTTATTTCAACTAAAGCGGCGGCGGACATGCAGAGAATGGAAAGGAAGAGGCCGATCCCCATCCGTTGAAGCTCGGTGAAGCCGCGGCCCTGCCCGGTGATTTTTCGGGCAGCGGGCACGAGGATGCGGTCGTAGACGGGCACCCAGAAGATGACGCTTATGACATCGAAAGTGGAGAGAGAAGCTGCGGGGATTGTGAAGGAGAAGACTTTGGTGTCCATCATCATGCCTTGTTCGACGAACATGGTTGACATTTGGGCGTATACCGCTGAGAATACGATTCCGGTTGCCCAAATTGGAAACATTCGGATTAGGATTTTGAGTTCTTCGACTTGTGTTACGGTGCATAGTCTCCATGGGTTTGAGTAGTTTCCGGTTGTGGTTTCGTGTGGTGTGAGTATTGCGGCTTTATCAAGGAACCTTACGAAAAAATTTAAAATAAGAACTCGTGAAAAAAGTATACAAAGGATGAAAGACGTTAAAGAGTGTGTTTGGTTGTGGAAAATTTTATAGTTCTCCATGAAAATTTTGGAAACGTGTTTAGTTGATTCGGTTTTCAAAAACTTTGCAAGAAAATGAAAATTTTTCTATTTTCCAAATTGTATGTAAATAGGAAAATGATTTTTATAGTTTTACAAAGTTTTCTAAATTTCTAAAACGAAAAATGACAACTCCACCGGTTTCAACCAAACGCGTTTTCTAAAATTTTCATTAAAAACTCTAACTCTATTTTCTGAAAACGTTTTCTAGAAAAATAAAAACAATTTTCCACAACCAAACGACTCTTTTCATTTTCCAAGAAAACGTATTCAGAAAATAGAGTTGAGTTTTCGATGAAAAATTTAGAGAACACGTTTGGTTGAATCGGTGGAGTTTTCATTTTCCATTTTAGAAATTTAGAAAACTTTGGAAAACTATAAAAATCACTTTCCTAATTTACATACAATTTGGAAAATAGAAAATTTTCATTTTCTTGGAAAAGTTTTGAAAATTTAATAAACCAAATGCATTTTAAAATTTTTTATTTTCATTTGAAAATTTTCATGGAAAACTAGAAAAATTTTCACAGCCAAACTAAGTTTTCGAGTAAAAAAAAAAAGAAAAACTTACTTCAATTCATCTGTATGACCAATTTTCCTACTCCCTTTAATCGCGGACAATTTATCGGGAGTTTCATACAAAAGCGAGCTATCAATGGGAACGGGCAAACTCCATTTCCTAAACGAAGCAACCAAAACTTGACCCATTCGTGTAATCGGACTCCCACCCGGTTTTTGAAATCGATAAAGTGGGGTCCCCAAAAAGAAACTTACAATAGCAACACCCATGAACAAAGCCGGAATCCCAAACCCTAGGCCCCACCCTTTATTGTCTTGAATCCAAACTATCAAAGAGCTTGAGATTAATGCCCCGATGTTTATTGAGAAATAAAACCAATTGAAGAAAGATCCCTTTGTTACCCTTTCTTTAGGGTCCGTGTCATCGAATTGGTCTGCTCCGAATGACGAGACACAAGGTTTGATCCCTCCGGTCCCAAGGGCAATTAGGTAAAGTCCCGAGAAGAAAAATAGGTATTGACTTGGTGTGGCAGGAGGACATGTGGGGCCTACGCATTCAATGGGCTTTAAAGATGGGATTGATGCGGATAGTGTTAATGTGCACATTCCCTTGAGGAAAATAGGAAACAAAATAAAGTGTTGTTTGTGTTAGCATGTGAGAAATAGCAACTTACTTCCATTTATTTGTTTATTTATTTATCATAGCATCCTACTTTTGTTTTGTTATATAACAACATTGTACTTTTAAAACAATATACATTACAAATTTTTATCCAATTATAAAAGTGGAAATTGGTTTGTAAAATGATGGTATTATTATATATTGGATAGGTTTTTGAAGATACAATGTTGTAATAGAAGAAAAAAGTAGGATTCAATAATGAACAAACTACTAAAAGCAGGTTGCTATTTTTGCCATTAAAGCTTGTTATAATGAAGATGGAGAGGGCATTCATGTCTTTTTCACACAAAAGAGATTGAGAGCAAGTCCATGTTATACTTTATAGTTTTTGGGTGGGACAAAAAGTTGCAATTTTTGTCCTAATGAATGCCAAATGTAGTGCAACCTATTCATACAAGAAAAAAAAAAGTAGTGAATTTGGCATACATTGGATTGAAACTGGGGTTGATATCAATGGGACAAAAGACGTGAATGCCCTCCTTATCTACATCATCAAAAATAGCCCTAGAAAGACTATCCCATGTAACAAACTCAACCTTTGTTACACAGAAGAGGACACAATAAAACACATTGTACTGTGTTTGACATGCATTCGATTTGGAAAAGCAAAAATATCGATGGGACAAACTTTGAAAATTAAATTTTGGCCAACTAAAAAAGGTGGAACATGAACTCGCTCTCAATCTATTGTTTGTGCAAAAGACGCGAATGCCCTCCTCATCCTCATTATAAAAAAAATACCCCTAGAAAACCTTTCCAAGCTTGATAGGGATATTTGTCATGATAAAGATAAGAAGGGCATTGATGTCTTTTGCACAAACAAGAGATTGAGAGCAAACCCATGTCTCATCATTTTGTGTGAGACAAAAAGTTACAATTTTTGTGTCATTGTCCAAATCAATGCATGCCAAACACACACAACGTGTATTGAAAGTGAAAAGTTTAAAAAGAGGATGTGATTACAATGAAGTAAATAGTTGAAAAGACAGCAATAGTCCAATATCTCCCCCAATAAGCATCTGCCAACACAGCACCAATGAGGGGAGTAAGATAGCATGTGCCTTGCCACGTGGTAACATTTCTAGCAGCTTCAGCATTTCCTTCATGCAACTTTTTAGTGAGGTAGCTCACAAGATTTGTAGATATTCCATAATACGCAAGCCTCTCACAACACTCATTGCCTGAGTCAACTCAAATTTGTATTATTAATATTTCATAATGCATGAAAATAAAAAATAAAATAAAAAACACAAAATGGAATACCAAGAATAAAAGGACATGCTCTCCAATTGCCTGTATTGCTTTTTAAAACAGGCCTTCCTTTTACATCAACTGAACCATCTCCTGTGTATAAGCTGTCCTCATTCTAAAAAAACAAAAAATATAGAGGTCAAGATTTAAATGATGTTTAAGAATATATTTGAGAAGATAAATTGGGGAAATCTTGTAAGAAAGTAGGACTTAAATGGAAATGTCTTAAGATGGAATCTTTCCAAATTCAGAAAATTGAAGTTAACATAAGAATTGGGAGCTCTCTTTAGACATGACTTGATCCCAGAAAATTGAAGTTAATATTTCTTTTTGACTTAAGGCAGAAAGAATGACTTAATAGAAAAAGTCAAGAAAAAAGAGGCTTTTTATATGTATGTGTGTGTGTATATTAATCTTACAGGGACTTATCTTCCACACTGATCTGTTATTCATTATGTTTACTCGATGCCTAATCACCTGTACCCAAGAATAAAGGCGTTTGTTTTTGTTTTCAAATTAGATTGCAGATAGCCGATAATAAGCCTTTCTATCGAAAACTAGTCAGTTAAAGCTTATTGCAGAAATGATACTCAAGAATGTAATATTGGAAAACTTGTGATAAAATCCATGATAATCAAGATATCAAGAAACTAGTCAGATAAAGTTATGGAAACAAAACGGATCATATAAATTAGTTTAAAATTACTAGCAATCCAAAGTTCATGACTTAACAATCAAAAAATCTTTTGATAAAATCAAGCTCCAATGATGAAAACGAAGCAGCGAAAGGTAATAGCACCGAATTGCTCACACCAAACTCCAAAAACCCCAATACAAATTTACCTCGAAAAACTTAAAGATGTTTGATTGTTCTGAGTAAAAATATGAACAGAGTAAATTGATCAATAAAAGATACAATGAGTATTACCTCTACAAGTCTGCCTTCTAAGAGCAATCTTTCGTCTTCATGGCGCCCCATCAAGCCACAAATCTAATCGCCGGAGGAACTTGGCCCCCAAATCAAGAAAACTGGAGTTGGTTGAGGATCAAAAGTAGAAAATGCTCAAACATAAAGAAAGCGGTAGTGGGTAAGGGTATTGACGCACGCAACCTAGGTTTCCGCACTCAATGGATATGATAAGATCACGATTCAGAAACGCAAATAATTTAAACGGGTTAGTTTTATAAGATCAGTGTTAGTTTTAAATCTCCGATTAATCGCTATTTAAGGTTTTTCACGGATTTGAATCTAAAATCCAAAAAATATTTGTTGTTTGATTTGAAAAGAAGATAGAATCTAGAAATCCTTCGGTTAGAAACAATATTATGTTAAGATATTATTTTATAAACCCTCTTAATATTAAAAAGATAAAAATGCAAATTTAGCTAAAAATATTAATTATTTTGTGGAAAAATAGCAAAAAAAAAAAACCTAATTTACATTTTTAGCCATCAAAATCGCAGATGGGGTTGCTATGTTCATAGATGGACTATTCCATCTACGAACGTACAAGTCGTTAAAGCACAGCTTGTAATCGATCCAACGGTGCATTTGGTAAATTGGAATAGGAGAATATTATAACATATGTAATCGATCATATACCCGAACATAGCCTAGCCAACTATAAAAACATAATTTATTTTTTGTTCATTTTTCACTCTTTTTTGTTGGAAAACTCTTTTTGCGAAACGATTTTCTTAACCCATCTGCGATTATGGATGATTTCATAAACAATCCTGATAATATAGTAAGATCTTTATTTATTTTGTGTTTTAATTATCATTTATAAACATTATGCCTTGTTTATGTACTATTTATTCCGAAAATTTGTTAAAAAACGAAACTTTATTGTGTTTTATTAGTCTATTTTCTTAGATCTATGTGTTATATTTGATAGTTAGTAGATTTTATTAGTAGCCTTGAAGTTTTGATGATATTTGATAAGTAGATGTATGATTGTACAAGTGCGTAATGCGTAAATTGTGCATTTTGTGGTTGTATATTTTTGTTAATATGTTTAATAATATGAAATTCTGATATAATAATTATTATTGCTGTTTTATGTTGTACCTTTACATTTTGATGTTGAACATATAATTTATCAAAAAAATGTTTTTATTTAATTGGTATTGTTATAAAAATGCTTATAAATAGAAATATCTTTTATATATAATTGGATTAGTTATCCTGCTTATAAATAGATATTTGGTTTATTTTGCGATTTAAATTGCCAAAATTTTGCCGGATCTTTTTAAATATAATAGTTTTTAAGTTGTTGAGTTTTTGTTACAATAATATGTTTTGTAACATGTTGTATTACAACATGATTATAGAAATATAAATGTTAAAGTTGTTGTTAACCTAAAAGAATCGGGATGTAACATATGACAAATATTTGAAGTATTGCATGGTGTGCGACGGGAAATTTTTAGAAACACTGTTTTTGGTTACTTGTTGGACTTCGCTCAATTACAATGGGACGGATTGCTGTTTCATAAGATGTTTCTTCATCGGTTACGCCCAGACGCAGTAGTATCCCCAGATGGCATAAAGCGATTATATTTTAAATTGGGGGATACTAAAATGGTTTATGTCCTGAAAAAGTTTTGTTTGATAACCGGGTTTAATTTTGGAGTTTATCCAAAAATGATTGGAAAAAAAAGTTTCAGAAAAAAAATTTAGTAGTAAAAAAAGATGTTTATTGCGGGAACGTCTCTTTCCGAACCACACAAATAGTTCGGTGAAAATCTATGATTTGAAAGGTTATATTTTAAATCAGCCATTCTTAGCAGCTACCGACGATGATGTAGTTAGAGCATGTCTGATATACGTTTTGTGTGAAGGCTTTTTGCGAAAAGAAGCAAATGATCGTGTGCCACAATACTGGTTTTTTTGGCTGAGAACTTGGATGGGCGGAATATGTATTATTTGTTGACTTTGAAAGTTTTATATTTTTTATGATAAACTTTATTATAATTAAAAATATTTTATTGTAGTTTTACTTGGGGTAGCTATTTGGGGGACTTCACCTCCGATTGACCTTGACGATACATGGAACAAAATCAATAAATATTTATCACTACTTGAGCCTCGTCAACCTTTCAAATACTCCGTGTCAGGATTTACGGCGCCATTCAGGGTATAAAAATATACAATTATTTTTAAGATACAACATGTATTTTAGTTGTTATTGTTGGGTGTTTGAGCATAAGAACATTCATATGTATTCATGCAACCCTAATTGCTTTGGATCTAAATTTTTCTCTAGTTATACATACAAATAGATCATCCAAAGCAATAACCCTAATACTAGCATACAATTTTCAGAAAAGCAATATGAAACTAGGGTTTGATTGTTACTTTTCTTGTTATCTCGTAATAACAAGTAATCCACGGATGATCTTGACTCTTGAAAGCTTGAGTGCCCCAAGTGGTGCACCTCTAATGGAGTCACAAACACCAAAAGCAAATGATGAGTGAGAGAGAGGGAAAAATTTCGGCTAGGGTTTCTCTTGGAAGCAGTGGCCAAACTTGGGAGGTCAGGGGGTCTTTAAATAGTTGTGACTGCTAGGGTTTTCAGGTGGAAACCCTAATCCTTGCTTAGGCTCCAAGCAGCCCATGAACCCTCCTTCTAGAAGGCCTTGGACGAATTCTATAGGGCCTCATATAGATTTCGTCCAACCCTTTCAAAGGGAGTCCATCACCCAATACCGCAACTATCATTGATTTGCAATATCAGTCCCCGTACTTTTAATTAGTTCCTTTAATCCCAAAATTAATACCAAATTAATTTCTGATTAAATACTAATTAAATAATATGATTTCTAATTAATATATTATTCTTATAATATATTAATAAATCATTTAATAACCTCTCTCTCCAAAAGTCATCCTGTCAAGTCGCTATGGTGAAGGCAACCCAAAAGGATCATGCTACTATCAGATCAAGTACATACCAATTATAGTTATGGGCTTAGACACCTAATCCAACAGTCTCCCACTTGGATAAGTCTAATAACTATAACTTGCAAGTATGACTTCAGAATCTGATAAGCAATAGTAGCTTTCAAAAGCCGTTGTCGAACTCTGACCTAGTCAATGACGCGTCCTTTAGATAAAGGATCATATAATGCTCCATTCTGCAAGGTATCGTGTGGACAAAGACATGGAACATAATCATTCTCATTGTCCAACAGTTTGTTTCCCGATTTCTGATTTGCCTGACATAGAAACTTAATTAAACACATCAATTCAGTCCTGACCGGGCCCGACACATAAGTCAACACAAAATCATCGAGGGGCCCAAGATATAGCTTTTACCCCTAGAGATAAAAGGAACAGATAAACTTTGACTTATATACTTGTACTATTTACTCATCAAATCATACACAACAATACGTTTTATAACACCGAGTTACTGATGCGTTTACGCATTATCAATGCACAACCAACTCGTAAACCGCAACTCATATATCTCGGTTTAAAGATTATACAATATTATCGTCTCACAATCACTCTTGATAAATTCCATGAAGTGATTCAAATAAGCATGGGTTTAATCCAATACTCAAATCCTATTTCAGGAGTACTCATGAACGTTGCAGCAAACCTTTGTTATGTCTAAGCACTTAGACAATCTATAAGCCAATTCATGACAGCCTTACTTCATAACTTACTTCCAAAGTATGAACAACTGTGGATAATTTGAACAATCCAATTATTCAGGAAGTAAAACATGCAAAAGTGAAACACAAAATAAATAATAGACAAAAGATAATAAACTTTACTCATAAATAAATCTTCCATTAGTTAATCATCAAATGTCAATTACATTTATATTGTTACAAGTTTCTAACTATCTATCTAATCACTAAAACTAATATCGTCCTTCAGACCAATGATCCTCGCTTGTTGAACGTGCTTAATCCTGCTCAGACCCTTTGTGAGGGGATCTGCTGGATTCTCTTCTGAAGATACCATCTTGACCACGAGGAGTCCTTCTTCTACGCGATGTCTGATTACATGATATTTTATGTTGATATGTCGGGATCTACCATGATCCCTCGGTTCTTTGGTTAAGGCAACCGCTCCTTCGTTATCACAGAAAATCTCCATAGGCTCCTTTATGGCTGGCACAACTCCAAGGTCTCCAATGAAGTTCTTCAACCATATAGCCTCCTTTAACGCTTCGCTCGCAGCTATGTACTCTGATTCGCACGTTGAATCAGCCACGGTCTCCTGCTTGGAACTTTTCCAAGTCACTGCTCCTCCATTAAGGGTTAACACCCAGCCTGACTGAGAACGAAAGTTGTCTCGGACGGTCTGAAAGCTGGCGTCACTATACTCTGTCACTCTTAAGTTATCACTTCCACCAAGTACAAGGACCCAGTCCTTAGTCCTTCGCAGATACTTAAGAATGTTCTTTACTCTTGTCCAATGAGCTTTACCCGGGTTCCCTTGATATCGACTTACCATGCTCAAGGCAAAAGCCACATCAGGGCGAGTACATGTCATAGCATACATGATCGAGCCAACGGCGGAAGCATATGACACTCGACTCATTTCTGCTATCTCGACATCGGTACTCGGACTCTGAGTCTTACTCAGCTTAGTATTGCTCTGGATTGGTAAGTCCCTTTCTTGGAATTCTCCATGCTAAAACGTTTTAACACCTTGTCCAAGTAAGTACTTTGACTAAGTCCAATTAGTCTTTTACTCCTATTTCTTAAGATCCTTATCGCTACAATATAAGCAGCTTCCCCTAGATCCTTCATATCGAAACACTTTCCAAGCCAGGACTTAACTTTCGGCAAGGTCGGAACGTCGTTTCCTATGAGCGGTGTGTCATCGACGTACAAAACTAGAAAGCTAACTATACTCCCACTAGCTTTGACATACACACATGATGATGGGTTTTGAGCACTATAACAACTTTATGGTGCACATACAACCCTAATGCTTTGGATCTAAGTTTTCCCTAATTATACATGCAATATTGTTTTCCAAAGCATGAAGCCTAACTAGCATACAAAATTTGGTATATGAATCATAAAAACTAGTTAGAAGAATACCTCTTGTTGTAGCTTGTTGTATTTGGACTTTAAGAACTTAGCACCTCAAGTGTGATGCTTCAAATGGTTCTCAA